CAAAAATAAATAAATAAAAATAAACAGTCATTGGATTTCAAGCAAACAATACCAACAAAGTGTCATGAACCAGAAAGTACTGAACTATAGGACTGGTAGAGGAGGAAGACAATAGGCCTTTCTTCAATCAAGTTCCTCGTACTAGTCTTTTTAATTTTCTTATTTTCTAGTTGATAACCTGCTCTTCTTACCAAAATAAAAGAAAAATCTTGCTATGAAGTTTTTCTCTAATTTTTTGTGCAGTTTCCTTCCCTAATCTAAAATCAGAAACATCTCAAGTAGGCATTCATATTATTCATGTATTTATTGAGTCTTTACTATGGGCTATGCACTGATCTATATACCTTACATTCCTATGAGGGAGGTACCATTATTGCATCAATTTCTCTAGCTCAGAAGTAAGGCCCAGAAAGGTTAAAATACCATATTTCATTGAATCTAAAATGCCACCAATTGTAAGAGACACTATTATTTTATGTACCACTAAGAAAAAAAAATCACTGCCACTTACATTATGATACAATGCCTTAAGGGAAGTCCTATGTTTTACAGATATCAGTATCACAAGCTTTTGAAACATATTAGATCTATTAAGAAGGACTTGCCAATTTTTCCTGACTCAGCTGCACAGGTTGGCACGTGGTAGGCAATCCTTTTGCAGGTATCTCAAAAAAAGAACAATAGAGCTATCTCTACTTGTAGAAATTCTTTACTTAAGTCTCATAAAACACCTGGATATTACTTGGCAAGAAAATGTTAACTAGTGAGCATTGCTCCAACAGCAAGTATTTGCATTACTAATACCAAAATTATATCCTGTTACAGTTTTTGTCTTTCTACATATGCAATAACTTTCTAATTCAATGTCTAAATATTGCATCATCTTTTTGAAGAGCTAAAAAGCAGTTGCACTCAATATGGACAACACCACTGAAGTATATAACTCAAATAGAGTAATGATAATATGAACATCCATGACCAAGTTTGCCCATACTCAGGCAAGATCTACTATGTCACAATTACATCCTACCTTACAGTTATTTCAAGACTCCATCAATTTAATATATACCTCAATTTCAAAGATGTTAAAATGTGAAGGAAAAAAGTGTGTCTTAGAATCAAAGAAATATGGAGATTTGCATAAGGTCTCACCAGTAGTAAATGATATATCATTTCTCTGCTGGGTAGTCCTACTAGTAGGTAGGCCTGCTAACAGATTAGAACCTATGGATGAGGAGAGACCTGATTCACCATTAGCCTTGTTACCCTTTGGATATACCACGGAGCACAAACAGAAGGCTATAGCTAGTTCTCTCTAAGACTTTTTACCAAAGGAGAATAGGACACTACTCTTGGGTGGGCAGTCTTTAGTGCAACCTGACCTTCAGGCTTAGGTGAAGATAACAGACTCTACCAAGAAAAATCTCTCTACCTATGAGATCTACCATAGAGAAGCATAAACACATTTAGTTCTACTTCCTACTCATTCCCGGAAAGTCATAGCATCTCTACCCTTACCTGATGAGGGATTATAACCATTACTCACTGCTCAACTCCACTCTTCCTCGCATGAATTCTTTAATAATCTTCATTGCTTAACTTACTCATGAGCAAACACCAACCTAGCAGAGAACACTAGCTGACTCCTTTATTATCAGGGAAGATATGCTCTACTTTAATTTCACCAACATGGCTTAACAGATATACTCTACTGAGAAGCTCAGCTTTGGCAGGTGCTAAACCATGTAACAAGGCAAACAGTGGGAATTTTTTTTAATCTAGTAGGCTCCCTAAGGTATAGCCCATTATCCCTCTGTTTTCTTTCTGAAACTCAGCCTGGTACAATTTTTAAAGGCAAGAGCCTAGATGCATGGGCTTTTCTGTTGGATCTTAAAATTACATGTCTATATTTAGATTTTAGAACATTTGCTTCCCCATATTTTAGGCCTTTTATTTATTTTCATGCTTTTTTTAAGGCTCCAGAAACTCAGATTATGTTGACAAACCATCCTTGGTAGCCCTGAATTTTATAAATGCCAAGTGATTCTTTAATTGACTCCTGCAATTGGGTCTCATATACCATAGCTGAATAAAAAACTCAACCATTTATAGTACCTAGGGAAAACTTCCTGAAACAACATCCAAACTGTACTGCCTGTTCAATTCTTATCCCACTTTAATCCATTTTTACACAAAGTCATGTTTAAAAGTTCTTAAAACAAAATTCATATCATGTTCATATTATTCTCTTACTTAAAATATATTAGTGACTTCTTATTGCATTAAGAACAAAATCTAAAGTTCTTACAATGTTTCACAAGGACCTTCATGAGCTAGCCTCTGCCTGTCTCTCCAGCCTATTATTCTACCACTCTCCCCACCAAGCAAATATGCTCCGAACACACAGTCTTCTCTAAACTGAACATACCCAAATCTTTGCTGCCTCAAGGTCTTTCCACATGTGTCTCTTGTGCTTGGAATTTTCTTAATGATCATTCGTCACATGGCTAACTCCTCATGCTTTAGGTTCCTCCATTTAAACGCTCCTGTTCAGTGAAGCCTTCTTTACCCCATTTCCAAAGTAGGTTTCACACAGAATTTTCTCTACTCAGTTGTTAATCAGCTGTTTTTAATCTGTGTTTTGTTGGGTTTTTTTAAATCTGAGACCCACACCAGAACACAAGCTCCATAAAGCCAAAGGTGTTAGTTAACTATTATATCTTCAGTACCTAGCATGGTGACACTACACAATAACAAAGAGATGAATAAGAAAAACTAAAATTGCAATCACTTTTATTATATTACTATATGACAGGCACTGTTCTAAGCACCTTACATATGTTAATACATTTAATTTTAAGTGCATGTATAAGGTATGTACTATCATTACCATCATTTTATACAATAGAAATTAAGGCACATAAAATAATAATGCCCCCAAAACTATTTAAGGATCCTTTTAAATGGTGGGCTTCAACAACTGTTCAATTGTTCTCATTCAGAAATTAGATGGGTACAGTTCTATCAGGTTGTAACAAAAAAGTAGTCTAACTTTTTGAAAGAGTAACAAGTTATTCCATTTAAATTACATGCAGGTTCTTACTTGATAAGTTGAAAATAGGAATTTCTCCAATTACTGTTTACATAAAGTCCAGGTGGGCTTAAAGTAAGGCAACTTCACTCTTGACTATCGTTTTGCTCTTGCCTGCCTTGTAGCAATGTGTTAGGAACATCACAAGGTTATTTATGGCTTACCGAACCTTCCTTCTTCCTAAGACAGGCATCTATCATGCACTAAATGTACAAGCCAATGACATACGCAGAACCTGCTCTGAAATTGTGCTTTCAGAATTAGGGTAAGTAGAAAGGTTTCTGATAAACTAGATCAGTGATTTTCAAAGTGTAGTCCTAATGTCCAGAGTTTTGAAATGGTTGTTGACAATTTTGCCAGTTTCAACCACTGTTTTTGGAGGTGAAGATTTTCCAAGGTCCTCATTCTGACATTCTGGAAGTCCTACCTTCTAATAAACTTTAAAAAAGATTAAGATATCTTCTAGTTATCCACCCAGACAGGTGTCAGTCAGAAGCTTAAGACTGTTAACCAGGCATTATATTCTTCTGTATCATAACAAATAATAATCAAAACACTCTATTTCCAAGAAAGAAATACTGGAATTGGCTTGTTTTTGTTTCTTGCCTGGCAGTAATTAAAAAAAGAAAAAACTTAAAACATTCATGCTTAAATTTTCTGGAAAAAGTGTCTTTTATCAATTGTATCTTAAATTTTAACAATCTGAAAGAGGTTATACCTAATTTATTTCTGTATTGTTAAAATATATACATGTAATATTTTGGCAAAAATCAAAATTAAATAAAAATCTGAATGAACTATAATCCATTACTAGGAAAGGTTCACAATTTTATAAAAAGAATACATTTTTGTGTTTGAATGAAAACAAGTAAACAAAATTTCTGATTTTACACAATATACCTATTCATTTCAAGAAGAATTAGACTAACATAACAAAAAGCACTATATATATCTCCCATGTATATTAGATTAGATTGGATTTTGAACAAAGATCTATGAAAGCATTAAGGAAGCAGAAAATCATTTTGCCTAGGAATGTAAGACAAGTTTTGACAAAGAGGTTTTTCCCCAATGGAGAAGAGAAAGAACATTTGAAGTAGAGAGATTAGCATCTACAAAGGTACAAAATTATAAAGGTACCTAATATTTCCAGGAAAGAGCAAGTGGCTGTGTGGCGGAGATAGCAATAAAATTCTGAGTTGAAGTAGAAAAATTCAGTTGACGCTATTACAAAGGGTCTTCAAAGTCCCACTAAAAGAATGTGAAATTCATCTACCAAGTAATCTGGAAAATGACTTGATAAAATCTACATGTGTGAAATACAATTCTACAGGCAACATAAAGGATGAAGTTATGAATAGGAGAAGAGAAAACAAATCGAATACAGAATCACTATCTAGAAGTTGAGTTTTTTTAACCCCACTATGTCTGCATTGTATGCCCTGTTTCTCACCTAGAAAAACAAAGAATTCTTCTCCATTTGATACTGAGATGAGATATTTTCCACAAAATATGTTTGTAAGAATATTTATTAACTTCTAGAGTTCTCTTCTAAGTCATTTAAACATAATAAAAAGATAATGTTAATACCTGCATGTCATCTCAGTAAATGTCTTATTTATTTCTGCAGGAAAAAAATAAACACAAAATAATTAAAAGTAAAATTAAAAGAAATAGAAGAAGGAAAATACTTGGTACCAGTATCTGACACTAGCCAAGTTCTTGGCAATGCCATTTAGGTAAGGTGGGTCCTATTTTCCGTTATCTATAAAATGCACAGGTTAATTAAGACTTTAAGTCCCACTCAGATTTAACTTGAACACTTTAGGGTTATTTTCTTAAATCCACTATTAGAAAACTGTACAGGTCAACTTAATTGGCCTTGTTCATGTAAAATATTTTACTTTACCCAAATAGTAGCAAATAAATCCTTGATACTAGTTCCAAATTCCTGATCTTTAGGCTGTTTATGTTTCCCAGCTTTTATCCTTGCTGAACCTATATGTTAACAAGTAAAAGAATCTTATGACATGTTCAAATAACTAAAACACATATATAAACACATGTATACATCTTAATAAAACCAGTCTGTCTTTGAATGGCAAGTGAGCTATTTTTGAACAAGCTAAAGTCAATCTAATTAAGTGCAAGTCACATTCTTCTAAAACAATGCTGTCCTAAAGAACATTCTGTGATAATGAAAATTTTCTATATCTGCTCTGTCCAATACTGTAGTCACAAACTACATGTGGCTATTAAATACTTGAAATGTAGCCCCTACGGGTGAGTAAATGGATTTGTAATTTAATTTAATTTAAAATTTAAATAGCCACATGTGGCAAGTAACTACAGTATTTGACAGCACAGCCCTAAAATATGAAAGAGTAACCTTTGCTATTACTAAAAATATTTTGTGCCAATGAAATGTACTACCATTAGGAGAGTATTTGATTTCTCTAATTTTACGTATATTTTCTTAATGTTTCCAAAAGAATTTTAACAATTATTTTATCCGACAACAATTCTATGAGGTAGTATATGTATTAAATAAAGCTAGGAAAATAGAATTAAATATGCCTCTTTTTATTAAGAAAACTTATGAACTCTAGATATAAAGCATTTTTAAAAAGAAATGACAAGAAGCAAAAATATGTACTAATGAAAGTCTGGTACATAAATAATATTTGGCTGCAGGTGGCTTCACTTGTTCAAATAATACTAGCAAATGAAACCCATGACAGAAAGAAATGTAGTCACAGCCATATTCTGAAATAAGGGATGGGGGCGGGGCTGAGGAATCTACTGTCCTTTAACATAATAAATTATATTTTTACAGTTACCTCGTATACTGGGTGGAAAACATGACAATGGTATTAATGTAGACCATGTAATAATTGAGACAAAAACAAAATGAATCCACCAAGTCTTCAGCCAGTGTTGATTACCACTGTTGTCAACGCTTTAACAGAGAAAAATGAAAAATTTCAACTTTGTGTATTTTATTACAAACAAAGCGATATCAGAGAGAAACAGAGAGAGAGAAATAGAACATTTTCTGTTAATTTCTCTCTATTGTTTGTTTTGCTGAGAGTGAATGGTTGTGAGTCCTCCAATTACGTAGTTCTCTTTTGTCATGCAGGACCCTAAATTTTCCCTTTTCCTTCTTTTCCCCTGTCCACTCAGGTGGCAAAGAGTAATTTTGCTCCTTTTTAACTTTTTTCTCCAAGAGAAGCTATGCATTTGGAAGACCATCCCTTTAAATCTCATCCTTGCTTTAAAAATCATTCCTACCCCTTTAATTATGCACCTAGCCCTTTAAGGCAAGCCTGGCCCTTTAGGTTGCACAATCTGGCATCTGATCATTTAAATCACATAAACTTTGAAATCTTTCTTATAGTCCCTTCTTTGAACTTCAGAGTGAGCATGAATTACCCTTCTAGTGATCATATCTAAACACCTTTAAGACTCTGTTAGCCTTTGTCTTCTCTCTTCCCTGCAGTTTTTCTTGGTCTGCCTTTGCAAACCACACAGCTTTGCAGTGGGCAGGGTGGGATGGGAATGTGAAGGGTCTTGTGCTGGGATTTGCTGATTTTCTCTTTCCACTCACAGTTATTTTGCAGTTTCAGTATTCTTTGTCTTCAATAATACTGAGGCCATGATTTTGTAGAGAATTTTCATAGTTGTGAAGTTATTTTGTATCATTTAGGGAGGAGATTCGGGGAAGTTGATTACTACACAGCCACCAATGTCTTCAGTTCCACACATTTTTAGGACCTCGTCCAACCAGCGAGAGTGAAAACATGCCCACAGCCATAGGAACCACAGATTTGGAGGTGCTGGTTTCTCACAGGGAACTCTACCGCCAACAGAAATGTGGTGAGTAGCTTACTAATAGGCCTCATCTTTCACAGAATGTGGAGAATATTCTCAGTTTTATTCATTGATGGGACAACTCCTTATCCATTACTACATTATTCAGGGATACAAATTCCAACTTATAATGACACAGGTTTGCAATCTCGATTTCCATTATCCAGTAGGCATGTACATTCGATTATGCTATGCCTAGGAAGTTTCAACTCCAGATTGTCACTAGGGCTATGTGTTTCCTCATCGATCATAATTCTCAGAAATTTCCTTTTTTTCTTTTTTCACTTTGAACCCAGCTATGTATTCTAATTATATGGATTATTTTACATATAATGTTATTATTATATATATGTAAATAATTGAGTACCTAGAAGATTGAGGAAAATAAACTAAAAATACTACAAAGTGTAATGAAAAGAATTTAATAAAGTGACATATATAGAAGACAAACTCAAACATCAATAGATTTTCCTCCTACTAGAAATAATTGATTAGGAAATGTAATAATATAAAGATTCCATACACGATACTAACAAAATACATGAAATAACTAGGAATAAGCTTAATGGGATATCTTCAATAAAGAAAAATCATAAAACTTTATTGAAGGGCATAAAAGAAAAGCATGTAAATAGAGCAACACACCATATTCCTGCATGAAAAGGTAAGAATTAGTCCCAATTTGACACATAAATTCAAGTATTTCAAATCAAAATGCTTTGATTGTAACCTGAGGTTATCAAATTTATCTGGAAGAGTAATTTTGCAAAAATAGCCCCTGATTTTTGATGAGTAATAATCAGTGGGGACTTTTCCAACCAAATAGCAAATCATGTGATAAAGCTTTAGTTACTAAAACGTTGTAGTCTTGGCATGGGAATAGAAAAATATATCCGGGAAGAGATTAGAGAGACAAGAAGAAAACCTTTGTATTCAGGAAATTTTAATTTATGATAAAGATGGTGTTTAACATCAGTAAAAAATTAAGTAGTAAAAAAAAAAAAACATGGAATGACCCATAAATGTTATCAGTACAATCAGATATCACTTTGAGGGAAACATAGAAGCTTAACCTATGCCTCTTATTATACACAAAAATAAATTGAAATTGGATGTTAAATTAAAACATATAACCAAAACCAGATGATACTACAGGAAAATAAAATTACAGGCTAACATCCCTGATGAACATAGATGCAAAAATCCTCAACAAAATATTAGCAAATCTAATTCAACAATACATTAAAAGGATCACACACCACAATCAAGCGGGATTTATTCCAGGGATGCAAAGATGGTTCAACATCCACAAATCAATCAATGAGATACACCACATTAACAAAATGAAGCATAAAAATCATACAATCATATCAACTGATGCAGAAAAAGCACCTGACAAAATTCAACATCCATTCATGATAAAAAATCTTGACAAAGTAGGTATAAAGGGAATGTACATCAACATAGTAAAGGTCATATATGACAAGCCCACAGCTAACATCATAGTCTCTAGTGAAAAGCTGAAAGCTTTTCCTCTAAGATCAGGAACAAGACAAGGATGCCTAGTCTCCTCACTTTTATTCAACATAGCACTGGACGTACTAGCCAGAGCAATTAGGCAAGAAAAAGAAATAAGAGGCATCCTAATCAGAAAGGAATAAGTAAAATTGTCTTTGAAGGTGACATGATATTATATATAGAAAACCCTAAAGGCTCCACCAAAATTTGTGGAGGGCACCAAGCCATGACACCATTCTATCAAGCCAGCTATTTCTGGATAATAGAGCACAGAGTAAGACGAGTGAATTCGGTACTTATCACGCTGAGGGCCAATGTAATCAACCTGATGACAGCTTGTCTCCCAAGGATGTGTCATATGGGGGACTTGGGGTTGACTTCTACTGCTGATAAGTTGGATACTCAGTAGTAGTAATACTCATATCCTGGTAAATATTCTTCATGAGAGAGTATCTTTAGTGTGAAGAAGTCCATGTTATTGCACTCATGCAAAGTCACCATTACTGTCACCATGGCCACTTTTTACATGGGCTTTTTGAGGAAGTACCAGGGTGGTTAAAAAAAAGAGAGAGAGAGGCTGACTGACATTAACAGGATGGGTTATCTTGTTCAACTGACTAAAGAGCCTCAACCAAACTATATACTCTCTTCACACAGTCATTCAAAGATGTTCATTCACATATTCTCCTTGTTACCTATTTTCTGATCTTGTTCTAAGTCCCTGGCCACCCAATCATAAATCAGTATAAAGTTATACCTCAGGCCATCCCTCCTTCCATGCTAAGTGGACAACCAGCCTAAAATTCTATGCATTAGAAGGATTTCCTGTATTTTAAGCCACTGTTGTGTGGAGCTATAATATAGTGGCTATCCCCTTTCTATCTCAGTGAGAGAAGTTAATATTCACACTTTTAAATGTTTCCTTTTCCCTGTGAATGTTCTCTAGTATTGACAAAAGAAGCCATATGACCCAGAAGTCTTAAAATCACTTTTGTCACCTGAATGATTAAATACTACAACTACTTAATTTCCCAATCTTGCGCTTCCCTGGACTTAATCCCATTCCACAACCTGTGATCATTTTAGTAACTACGTCCATTTTACCCCCAGCAAGGAGGTTATATGTGCATACAAATATGCAACCTAGTTCTGAAATCCTGTTGTTACTTCTGATACTATTTTCAGTGTCAGTCAGGATCCTGGTAGGAAACAGATGGTATACTCACACTAGATAATTTGAAGGGACAGTGACAAGTAGACTATTTCCAGTGATGTGGGCAGAGTTTAGGGAAATGAACAAGGCATAGTACAAAATTCTGGGGCGAGCAACAGTAGCAAGCTGTTACCACAGGCCTGAATGTCAAGTGAAACAGTGCTTAATAATGGAGAGGGCAATGTAAAAGGAACCATGGCCTTCAGAATAGAAGTACAGCCAATCTGGATACAATTTCCTAGGGAAGGAGCTGGGAGGATAAATGACCTAGCCTTAATATGCTCCTGCCTTCTCATGTGCCAGTGTTTCTCATTGGCCAAGTCCAACTGAAATCCAGAGTGCAGGGGATTATATTGAGGCTCTCAATACAGGTCAGCCTCCCGGGGCAGAGAAGAAGGTACAGAAGATTTTAGAAAGATGGAGATCAACTTTAGAGAGTCAAACAAAATACATCCAACACACAGCTTATTCTCTGACACCTTATTTGTCCCCCTTTATGATATTTGTCTGGCAGCTACCAAAACTTCACACTAGCAAGGTAATAACCCAGATGACTTGGCAAGAGAGCTTCCAGGTGGTATCTGTAGCAATAAATAATTATAGAATTAGTTGGCTAGTTGGCGATAAATAAGACGGGCTAGTTGGCTTCTGTTTCTTAGTTTTAACTAGTTCTACCTTTATATAAACCCAGAGTTTCAGAAATGGAGGGTGGACCTCTCTGTTTTCTTGTAGTGGTAGATTATATCTCCTTTAACTCCATCATCTCAATGAGAGAAAAAGGCAAGAAATCACTTATGGTACCACTTCCCAGTACATAATTAAACATAACTTTAAAAATACATATCTATATAGCAAAAGGAAGGAAATAATAAAGATTAGAGAAGAAATAAATGACATATAGAATAGAAAAACAATAGAGAAAATCAACAAAACTGAGTAGTTGTTTTTTTAAAAAAAATCAACAAAATTGACAAACCCTTAGCTATACTAAGAAAAAAAGAGAGAAGACTCAAATAATAAAAATCAGAAATGGAAGAGGAGACATTACAACTGATGCCCCAGAAATAAAAAGGATCAGAAGAGACTACTATGAACAATTATATGTCAGCAAATTGGATAACCTAGAAGAAATAGATAAATTTCTAGAAACGTACAACCTGTCAAGACTGAATCATGAAGAAATAAAATAACTGAACAGACATGTATCTAATAAAGAGATTAAATCAGTAATCAGAAACCTCCAACAAAGAAAACTCCAGGACCAGATAGCTTCACTGGAGAATACTACCAAACATTTAAAGAAGAATTAACACCAATCCTTCTCAAACGTTTCCAAAAAATTTAAGAGGAGGGAACATCTCCAAACTCATTCTATGAGGCCAGTATTACCCTGATAACAACATCAGCAAAGATACAAGAAGAAAGGAAAACTACAGACTAATATCCCTAATGAATATTGATGCAAAAATCATCAACCTAACAGACTACAGTATAATGTAAACATAACTTTTATATGCACTGGGAAACCAAAATGTTCATGTGACTTGCTTTATCGTGATATCTGCTTTATTGCGATATCTGCTTTATTGCAGTGGTCTGGAACTGAACCTGCAATATCTCTGAGGTATGCCTGTACCAGGCAAAAGACTTGCACACTGAAAATTAAAAAATACTGCTGAAAGAATTAAAGAAAACACAAACAAATGGAAATGAAGTTGAAGACAATATTGTTAAAATATCCTTACTACCCAAAGTGATCTATAGATTCAAGCAATCCCTATTGAAATCTCAATGGATTTTTTGCAAAAATAGAAAAAAAAAATCCTAAAAATTCATTTCAAATTTGAAAGGACCCCAAATAGCCAAAACAGTCTTGAGAAAGGAAAACAAAGCTGGAAGCCTCACACTTTCTGATTTCAAAATATATTACAAAACTAGAGTAATCAAAACAGTATGGTTCTGGTAATAAATATAGATATATAGACCAATGAAACTAAACAGAGAGCCCAAAAATAAACTGTCATAAATATAGTCAAATGATCTTTGACAAGGGCGAAAAGAATACACAATAAGGAAAAGACAGTCTCTTCAACAAATGGTGCTGGCAAAACTGGATATGCAAAAGAATGAAAGAATGCAAAAGAATGAAGTTGGACCCTTATCGCACAACATATACAAAAAAAACCTCAAAATGGATTAAAGATCTAAACATAGGACCTGAAACAATAAAACTCCTAGAAGAAAACACAGGGGGAAAGCTGCATGACATTGGATTTGACAATGATTTCTTGATACGACAGCAAAAGCACAAGCAACAAAAACAAAATTAGACAAATGGGACTACACTGAACTAAAAAACTGCACAACAAAGGAAATAATCAACAGAGTGAAAAGGCAAATAGGGAATGAAAGAAAATATTTGCAAAACATGAATCTGATAAAGAACTAATATCCAGAATATATAAAAACTCTTTCAACTCAACAACAACAAAAAAATCTGATTAAAAAATGTGCAAAACGGCCAGCCCAGTGGTGTAGTGGTTAAGTTCACACACTCCACTTTGGCAGCCCAGGGTTTGCGAGTTTGGATTCCAGGTGCAGCCCTATGCACCGCTTGTCAAGCCATGCTGGGGCAGGCGTCCCACATATAAAGTAGAGGAAGATGGGCACAGATGTTAGCCCAGAGCCAATCTTCCTCTGCAAAAAGAGGAGGAGCAGCAACAGATGTTAGCTCAGGGCTAATCTTCCTCACCAAAAAAAAAAAAAAAAAATGGGCAAAGGATGTGAATAGACATTTCTACAGAGAAGATACACAAATGGCCAACATGTATATGAAAAGATGCTCAACACCACTAATCATCAGGGAAATGAAAATTAAAACCACAATGAGATATCACCTCACACTTGCTGGGATGGCTGTATTTTTTGTTTTTGTTTTTGTTTTTTATTATTATTGATGTCTTAATAGTTTAGAAGAATGTGAAATTTTAGTTGTATATTATTGTTTGTCAGTCACCATAAAAATGAGGATGGCTATTTTTTTAAAAAATCCAGAAAACAACAAGTGTTGGCAAGGATGTTGAGAAACTGGAAACCTTGTGCACTATTGATGGGAATGTAAAATGGTGCAGCCGCTATGGAAAACAGTAAGGAAGTTCCTCAAAAAAATTAAAAATAGAATTAACAAATGATCTAGCAATCCCACCTCTAGGCATATATCCAAAAGAAGTGAAAATAGAATCTCAAAGAGATATGTGCACACCCATGTTAACTGTAGCATTATTCACAATAGCCAAGGGGTGGAAGTAACCTAAATGTCCATCAACAAATGAATGGATAAAGAAAATGTGGTATACACATACAATGGAATATTATTTAGCCTTAAAAAGAAGGAAACATTGTCAGATGCTACAACATGGGTGAACCTTGAGCACATGTTAACTGAAATAAGGTTGTCACACATCGGTCTTAGCAACATATTTTCAAGCACCATGTCTGACCGGGCAAGAGAAACAATAGAAAAAAATAAACAAATGGGATTACATCAAACTAAAAAGCTTCTGCACAGCAAAGGAAACCATCAACAAAACAAAAAGACAACCGGCCCCGGCCCCGTGGCTTAGCGGTTAAGTGCGCGCACTCCGCTACTGGCGGCCTGGGTTTGGATCCCGGGCGCGCACCAATACACTGCTTGTCCGGCCATGTTGAGGCCACATCCCACATACAGCAACTAGAAGGATGTGCA